TCATATAGACTCTTATGATATAAGATACATAAGTGATTGAATCTAGTGCAAGTGGAAATTTGTAAGTGTTATGCCCAATGTCCAATCAACTTTGAATATAAACACTTTTAGTCTATATAATTGATGCATATTTATGACAAAATCTATTATTTAATTGAATTAATGTTCTTATAAATTCATTAACAGAATCCGTAAATTCAAATTTTTGTAATTTGTTAATTACAAAGAGTTGTAATTGTGATATACAAATTACATATGGCTGAATCTTAAATCATCTGTGGTTGTAAGTAATAACAAGATATGGATATCGTTATTATGGATAGACCATCACGTATAGCATTTCTTACTTGTGAAGTAAGTAGCTAATTTGACAAACTAAAGTATGGTGACACTTAAATGAATACGCGGATGTTTTGTTATAGAACAAAACATTGGAGACCTGCTTGGGAGATTCCATATAAATAACTATCTGAGTGTCGGTGGTCAATCCCTAACATTCAGTAGTGGAATTGTTCCTTTGACTTGAGATTATCATATTATCTTATATGAGGACAGTCATACTTTGGTGATACTAGATGTTACTCTGCCATGGATTGCAATTTAGCTAATACGGCATCGTTTGAGTATGTCAAGAATCACGTATCCATATCTCGTAATTGATCAGATCATATTGAAGAAATAATTATAGTTTCATGGTAAACGAACAACTTTGATTATGTCATATCACTTAAAATTTCTCGTCACATGTATTACTCTGATACATTATTAGATGTCAATTTGGGATAACGAATATAAATTGATTATAAATTAAAATGGGTGTTTTAATTTATCAATTTTGATTAGATCAAAATAATAATTCATGTCGTTAGGTATCGTGATCGGGAACCTGATGGGTCACACACAAAAGGAGAACCAGAAAAATGAGATTCACCAATGAATTAATTAACAAGTGTTGTATAGTTAATTAATTGGTTTCTTGTAATTAATTGGATTAATTAATTCATGTACCAAATTTAATAATTGGATTAATTAAATATTGAATCGGGTTAAGTTTATGAGACGGGCCAAGCCCACTTGGACTTATATTAATAAAACATTATGGTTTTGAAAAAGAACATAATACAATTCATATTCTTGTTAGAACAAGAAAAGAAAAACAATAATTCTCTCATTCTTGTTCCCTGCGTAAATCTCAATTGGAGGTTAGACAATTGGACAGTTGTGGACTGCAGATCGTGATTGTTCGTGTTCCAAGATCAACATAAGAGTTTGCAAAATCTACAAAATGTATAATTTCTAATACGGTTTATTTCTAAACACAAAGAAGGTTCTTGGTAGGAATTGAAATTTGTTTTATTTTTTACTGTGTATGATACTTAAATTCCCAACTGATAGAGACTACAAAATGCAAGGTTATGGTACATCATTCTCCTTCGTCTTGATTTCTTCTAATTTTTTCCTAGTAGAGCAATGAAATCAACCCCACTCGGTCTGGATATCCAGGGAGGAATTATCAGTTATGTTCAATAATTGAACATTATAATTTTTAAAGAACCCGAGTGCCCTACTGAAATAACTTATATTATCAAGTATCTGTCCATTTCATTATTGAATTCAAAGAGAATCTTAATCAATGAGGTAGCCAAGAAATATTAAATTATTTCTTTTATCGTAAAATTGACACGACTCACCAACCGCCATTTTCCTATTATCACCGAAGTCTTGGACTTAGTCAAGCAATTGGAATTGAGATCTACTATCCCTATTTTGCGATCTTCCCACTAGAATTTCAACACCTCACTATATTGGATATATAGTGTTAGCACATATATGTGATATCACCTTGGAAATGTTATCTTGACAAGAAATTAATTCTTTTGCTGCTACAAAATTGTTGTTTAAGTATTCATTTTAGTCTTCTGTAACGTGTTAATTTGTTTCTTATTACAGCAATTTTGTCTCTCCACCTCCACGTCTATCGTGATGCACGTAAGAATGAAATAGAGGGAAAAAAGGCAGATAGCACGCACAAGTTTTTTCTCTATCCTTCTTATTTTCTATTTCTTTTAGCCATTGGAATGAAAGTTTTCCAAGAATTTACAAGTAGAAAACCAATAGATTTGAGAATCTCTAAGTATATTTTCTTGCTCAACTTAGAAAGACAAGTATTTATCAGATTTCACGTGAATCATTAGTAGCAGAACTTCATTAATCATGTTGCTAATCAGAACAACAATATCTGATATCCTACAATATTAAAATATTTATTTTTTGCAAGATCGGTCATTAGCTAAACTGATCAAATATTAATTCCACGTGAAACGAAATAACCCTGTCTTATCTGCTGATATCTATGTTTGATTTTAATTGTATATAGCAATTAACATATTTTTTTCTCTCTATAAATAGCCAGTGTCTTCATTCTGCTTTCCAAATCTCATTCATTAAAAGACTTGTACTGTGTAGGAATAACCTTTTTTATTAGGAAAAGAGGGAAAGATGAAATCAACCGTAGCTCTAGTGGGGCTTTTCTGTCTTGCAGTAGTAAGTACAAACATTCTTCCGTCGAGTCTGAATTTTTTTCATTGCATATAGCAATGAACTTTAAATAGAGTAGTATAGAACGTTTTACATATTCAATTCCGACTTTTTATACTTTATTATTTCATCATTGTTTTCTTCCTAGTACATTTTCTTGATTTTCTCTTTGTTTTTGCAGCTGGCAACGACTATTGATGCACGAAAAGAACCAGGAGAGTACTGGCAAGGGGTTATGAAAGATCAGCCCATGCCCGAGGCAATTCAAGGTGTTCTCGATACAAATTCTGTTGAATATGTTCCGAGTATAAAGAGTGATTGCCACACCTCAACTGAGGCAAGTAAACAAGACAAGCCCTTTGTTCAAGACTTTGAACCTAGACCTAGTACCACAACCCATCGTGATGATAAGTTAAAAAATGAGATATCTTTTGCGAAAGACTTTGAACCAAGACCAAGTACCACAGCCTATCGTGATAATAAGCACAAAAGTGAAAGATCTTTCACGAAAGACTTTGAACCAAGACCAAGTACCACAGCCTATCTCGATGATAAACTTAAAAATAAAAGATCTTTTGCAACAAAATTTGAGCCAAGACCTAGTGCCATAGCCTATCACGATGATAAGCTAAAAAATGAGAAATATTTTACAAAAGACTTTGAGCCAAGGCCTAATGTCTCGTCTTACAATAATGATGCTAAACCAAAGGACGAGAAATCTTTTGTGAAAGACTTCGAACCAAGGCCTAATGTCTCAGCTTACACCGATGACGTTGGATTGAAGGGAGAGAAGAAGACATTTGAGAAAGATTTCGAGCCCCGACCAAATGTTTCAGTTTATCAGCAATGAGACAGAGAAATGTATAACAAATGCATTATCTGCATTTGAATAAGGTTCAAGTTTGTGTTTTCTACATATGGTATGCAAGTGCTTGAATATTGAATAAAAGTTTGTACTGTTTGGATTTGTATTATGTATAATTTAAGCGTCCAATTATTCATGATCCTTTATCTCTTCGTTGTTTAGCTGTCTTGCAAATCGCTATGAAATAAATAAAAAGGAAAAATTAAAATCTTATCCGATTTCGAATTTTCTATACATACTATTGATATTGAATACTTCGATTCTTGATGAACATGAATATATTACAGTTGAAAGCAAACAACGTGTTATTTTTTTGCTTCCTCGAAGAAGGTTTTAAACAAATAAATGGCAACCTCCTTTAAGATTTGGATTTTAACTCCTCTTCTAGTCAATGTTTTTATTAATTTGTTATTTTTTAAATAAAAAAAGTTAATTTTGACAAAAATTATTGAGTTGTAACCATTTTTGTAAAAATAAAAAGATCTTTCTTCGGGTTAATTATAACTTAAAACCCAAATTTCTTCTAAATTCAAAACTAAGAGATCAGAAAAATAATAAAAAAGATTGTTTCAAATATAATATCAAGGTAAGTGTAAAATAGGAAAGGTATATTTATTGTTGCACAAAGGGAAGAGTGTAATGAAATGTGTAAATGAGAGAGCAAATGTAGCATGATTGTATTCAAAAGGAATAGTGCTATATGTACATTTTGCATGACACCATAGTTGATATTCCCTCCTATGTGGAGAAAATTTGTGCATGATGTGATGAATGAATTTAATCAAGAGTGTAAATGTAGCATGATTGTTTCAAAAGACATGGAGTAGTCAAATACCAATGGCATTTAAAATTCTTCGAAAATACTTGATTATCATGTAAAATAAAGATAAATAATGTATAAATATAAATTCTCTTTTGCTCCTTTAGCAATTGATTGGGTAAATATTACGAAGAGTATTTATTGTAGTGCATCTACAGAGGGATGACAATGGGGTGGACGGTCATTTCTAACCCCCGTCCGTCAGGCATTTTTGCCACCTTGTCTCATCCTCATACCCGATTAAAATGAGGCGGGACGGGACGGACTGGGTTCAGGGCAGAGAGGAATGGGGCTCCTGCCCCCTGTTTATTTTTATTTTTTTGTATTTTTGTATTAATTTTTTTTATATTTTTAATTAGTGAATATTATTACTTCTTTTTTGTCAAGAACGATTCATGTTTTCTTTACAAATGATGATAATTTTTTTCTTTTCATTTGATAAAAAACTTAAATTTAAAATTAACTTAAAACGACGTGGTAGTGTGGCGAGGACGATGTTTCCTGTACCCTCCCCATACCTGGTTCGGGGCAATGACCCCATCCCGTTTACCCCGATTAGATTTATAATCCCCATCCCATTCAGAACAGGGTCTCGTGACTATCAAATTGAACGGACTTTTTGCCATCCCAACATGTAAATGTCACTATTCCACGACGATTATTTTGGTAAATATAAGAAGGTGTTTTTCATTTAGATTTTTAAAAACTTTTATTGATTTATTTAAATTTCCTTTCTCCAACTAAAGAATTATTTTTTTAATATTCGATGAATATAATTGGAAGAATTAAAGTAATATACTTAGAACATCTCTGATGGGTTGTGAATTGCACTAAAAATTATGCAGCATCACCTCCAAATTCCTTACCTGGCAAATATGATGCCTACGCTCTAGCGTATCTTCCACCCGTAAAAGGTGTGCTAGACATGTTCTACTTAATTTTTTTATAATTTATCCCTATTGAAGGATGTGCTAAACATTCTCCATTCAATTTTTTTTACAGTTTACCTTCACTCTTCTTTGTCTCTTTTGTACATATATACCACAATTGGTGCAATGCATAGTCCCATTAGAGATGTTTCAGTCACTCGAGCAACACTCCGGCGAGCAGCTAGCAAAAATTCGGCGTGAATCCTTCTTGTTCCAAACATAAAACCCCAAACCCTAAGCTAACCTA